GCAAAAGCTTCACTATGTCATATTGCATATTTGTATCATCTGTATCATCTTTTCGTTTAGTGTGAGATGTATCATCTGTGTGCTTAAGGCTTAAGGTAGTTGTGTGGTTAAGACTTGCGAGACCTCACTCGATAAGACCCGAAGATGCAGGTTGCCCTCAGCTTCGATTCCTGTTTGGGTTTCATGGGATTTCGACCTTCCGAGAGCAAAAGGCAAAGGCAGGATGCTTTTGAGCGACCCACAACAGTCACAGCAGTGTAGGGCTGAGAAAAACAGCTAAAACTAGACTAAAGCAACAGAAGCCTAAAAGCCAAAGAACGGATCTTTCTCATAGACTCTCCAAGCATCGTCTTAAAACGGAGCTTCTTGCCCTCGCTCGCAACGTCGATATGATTCTCCAGCAAGTCGGCGACTAGCGGCGACTGCAAGATGACCAGGACCACATGGAGCAAGAAGAAGATCATCGGATGGGCCGCTACAATCCTGGTCTTTGAAATGCGAATTGAGGCTGAGGGACAACTCTTCAAAATCATTCCGCTAGTCGCACATATGTGATACCACAGACGGATAACCCAGAAGACAATTCGTCCGAACTGAGGCCTTTGAGCCTTTTTTTTAAGTTTTGGGTTCTCGGCTCGTGCCGAACAACTCCACCGGACCCCGAACCATTTCGGACGCGGTTCTGAACAATGGTGAGGTAGTCCAGGAAACCAGGTCCCTCCGGGGTTGCCAGTCTGCTGCAGCACATCATGCCACAAGTTAGGAGGATAACGCGGACTGCGACCTCGTCATCTCAGGGTGTTCAGAGGCTTCACCTCGCTGAGGGACTGTTGACTGTTGCGCAGTTCTTTGATATCGGATTGCAAGAGCAACCGTGTTGTGGATTGCCCTGCAGGGCGCCTGGCCTGCCAAGTCAACCCCAATTCGTCATAGCAGTAGCAGGGACCACAAAAAAAACGCTGAAGACCTCCAAGCCACCGCCCAACACTTCGTACGCCGTCCGGCACCTGGAAGTGCAACGCCACAGGCGGCCGTGAACTTGACGAAGGCTTGATCGAAGACTTCTGCTCCCTCCTCGACTGGACTTCTGTCACCCACTGCAGGACTTGGGGCACGAGTTTCAACGCGCTTGCGGTTTGTTTTTTTTGGTTTTGCGAAGCTCCTCGGCTTCGAAAATGCTTTCCGACTACGTGTCCGGTCACAGGTTTCAGGGCCAAAGCCACGCAGGTCCTCAGAGTCCCCGTTGCCGTACACCAGTGGCTTCGACTTCTGCTTGTCGGAAAGCGTCTTCCTGCGGCCCGAAAAATGCCAAGCCGAAGCACAGGCTGCGAAGGCATGACTAACAAAAAGCGGTTTAGGGTTTAGGGTTTAGGGCTTAGGGTCTCTCAGTTGCGGTCCTCGGATCCTTTGCAATGCCGCGAATGATCTTATCCACGGAAACCTTGGCTCACCGGCTCGGGATCTCAGTCACAGCCCTCCGAAGTGACACGAAGATCCTCACCAGACCCAAACCCAAAAGCCCCCAGGTACCTACTCTATAGGGCCCTACTGTAGGGGCTCTGGTACCCTATATAGTAGGTATTTGGGGGGTTAGGGCAAGCCCAAAAGCCCAAGAATAGCTTTGGAAGCTGGGCGCCGACCGGAACTCGGGATCTCGGAACCAAGGGATGATCGGGATCTCCTCAAACCTGGGAGAGGGCGGGCTCGCAGAGGATGCCTGCGATACCCACCCAGGAAGGTAAGCATGTTTCCGCAGGGCACATTCTTGGAGCGGAGTCGATGTTTCCCCCCGCTGTGCCCTGGTTCCAGCGACGCCCCCGCGGTCTGCTACAAGCGTTCGTGACAAAGGCCTCGAGCCCCAAACTCTGACATAGAGAGGCCCTGCCCCTGCATTTGGAAGTCTACGGAAACCCCTCCCCCAAGACCGCGAACAAGAAAATGCAAAAGATTCCCCCTACCGCCCCCCCGCCCCGCTTCCGTAGTCCGCAGTCCGGGCTCAAATTCCTTACGACGGAGAGGCCACAGTTGAGACCCCCAGGCCCTGAACAGCCCCGGACCAAGCTTGACCATGGGGCAAGTGCCGCACGTCCTCGGGGCACTTGTTGACGAGCTCCTGCGCACAGGCCGAGGAGATGAGGATGAGCTTGCAGTGGCTGTATTGCAAGTCAGCATCAGGTGCTCTCTTCGCTAGGCTGCACGTGTACACTCGAAGCCCTGTGGCCAACAGTTGCTCCTTCATGTTCGGTTTGCCGTGGCGGTCGTCGGTCTCCATCACTAGTATGATGTTCCTGCCGCCCAGAACTCGACCAGCAGAAGCTTGAGAGACCCGAACCGCAACGCGCAGCCGCCTTTAACTGCCGAAGCGAAATACTGCACTCCCAAGTGCGAACTTCCGAAACTTACGGTATCCACCCAGGCCAAAGTCCGTTTCGCAGCTATTGCCCATCTCATCTCCTCGGTCCGGACTTCGGAAAAGGTGTCTCTTGGGATGCTAAGCAGCTCTGAAACCCCCTAAGAGGCAAAACCACGATCAGACCCCCGTTCCCGCGCTGATAAATGGTGAGACCTCAGCCTTGGCCTTGAAACTATCAAATTAAATTTAAAGATGGTAGTAATAATAATAATAATAATAATAAAATATGGCTTAGGGTTGCAAGGTGCACACAAGGGTTGCTAGGGTTTAGGACGGCTTAGGGCTGCAAGGGTTGCAATGGGTTTTTTGTTGAGACCTCTTTTCCTTTCCGGATTATGCTGGTTGAGGTAGGTTTGAGGAGGGTTGCAACAATGGTTTCGGGTTTAGGGCTTAAAAAGGGCAGGGGCTAAAGGCTGAGCGCACGGGGGCTTCAGGATTTGTGACTTTTACCAAAGGTCGGATCCGCGTAGGGGACAGAAACTTGTGACGTCCGTCATATGGTCATGTTTCAGGTCCATTGAAAAAGTACCCCCAGCGTCCAAGTGCCTCTAACTTCAGCCGTAGCCGCCATCTGACAAAACTTACTCTCCGAGATCCCCTCCGTGAGGAAGATAAGCACGTTTCCTGGGCAGCGTGCTGGTCCAGGACCGACTAAAGAGGTTCGGGGTGTGGTCTCGAGCTTGGAACTGGAGGGAGCAGTTGCTCCCGGCCTTCTTTCTCTCCTACATGTGCTTCGGTTTCAAGCCGGAGCCCTTCCCAGACCTAGAAGACGAAGACCTTGAAAGGCGAGCGTCTGGAGTGACACACTCCATAGCACATGCCCCTGACTGTTGGATCTTGCTCGATGTCCAGCCAAAACCTGGCTGTCACGCAAGAAAGGCAAGGATTGCGGAAAGATGGCAGGGGGATGTCGGTATGTCCATCCACCTGGGCTTTTGTGTTGAAAGTTTCAACAGCTATACCAAAGCGGAGAGGCTCCGGCTCTGCGACTTCCCAGCCTCACTCTGGACATCCCACAGTTCACCGTTGGCCGGTGTGGATCTATAAGAGCGGCTGCCCACAAACTCACAGCAATGTGCTTTTCGCATCAGGGCGCGATGCCCCCATGAACTTCTCACCTATGGCCAGGCGCAGGTTCTGGACGGCATCCTGCGCATTCCTGGGACAGTGGCAGACAAGAGGGCTCGTCCGCATCGACAAAGCACCAGAGAGCGAGCAAGGCAGAGAGAGAGAGACACAGACAGACCGAGGGACAGACGGACAGACTCGGATTTCCTGCGGTGGACGCAAGCACATGTATCACTTGGCTATGAAGCCAGGCACCAGTGTGTCTTCCTGAACCGGCTGACACTAGCTGACGTCTGAAGCTCTAAACCTGAAGAACCCCACAAGATAAGATGCCGCAGCCTGCCCACCCTCGAGCTTTAAGGAACACCAAGCATCGACTGCTTGTGGCTCCTGAGCTCATTTACGGGGGAGGTTTCGGCTCCCCCGCCAGTCAGTACGCTAGAACAAACGCAAGTTATGTGGGTAGTTTTCCAAACTAGGGTCCCTTTCCGGGTGCCCAATCTAGTACGGCACCCTTCTAAAAGGACCCCAAAGGGGCCCATAATTTTGATCAACCCTGACATGGTGAAGCACACAAAAGAACACAACACCCTAAACCCTAATCCCTAAACCCTAAACCCTAAACCCTAAACCCCAAACCCCAAACCCCAAACGCAAGCTGCAGCCGTCACGGCCGTCACTCTCCCGAGGCTCCGAGGATCTCCGACAGCCCTGGGGATCTCCCTATGCTTCCTATGACTCCAAGAACTTCACCGGGGGCCAGATGTCAGGTTTAGGGCCTGATATAGGGTTTAGGGTTTAGGGTTCTGGGTTTAGGGCTTAGGATTTAGGGTTTAGGGCAGGCTGCATGAGCCATGAGCACGACATCGAACCAATTCCAGGGGGGACAGCGGCTGCCAAGTTGAAGACGGGAGGCAGGAAGAAGTCCCATCTGCATTTCTCGTAGGGTACCACAGTGGCTTCAACTTCCCCCGGAGCTCCAATGATTGTGCTCCTGGATATCAGGAGGAAAGCATCTGGAAGCCCGTGCCCTGCATATCAGGGGGTGCCTGCTCCCTCTAATCTCAAGACCAGAAGCCCTCCGCAAGAATAAACCGCTTGCTGCCAGAGGGGGACTTGGACTTGACCGACTTCGGTGAATCCGGTATCAGGGTCTCTTCGTCATTGTCGGGGCGCGAGCGTCCTTCCGAGCCCTCGGTTGAGCGAAGACACATCCACTCCACGATTCACGTTCGTGGGGTTTCAAGGTTGGCGTCTCTGGCAAGGCAATCCAAGGGGAGTGTTACTCTGTGCAGGTTGTTCGAGGGCGGCGAGATGCTGACAGGATGCGTGGGGTGATTTCATCATCCACGGCTCGGTGCAAACGCCGCATCTACAAAGACGCTCTGAGCCAAGATCGCACATCGAAGGTTGCATATCAGACGGGCCCACGTTGCTTACGCCACCCCTCAGTCATATCATACCATACCTGTCCCCCTACAGAGGCCCTAGAACCCTGAAGCTCTCTTACCCAGCGCACCAGGAGCACCAGCGCACGGCGCCACCGCTGGCGTCCGCTCAGACCTGCGCTCGCTCTCGCTGGACTCGGGGCACCACGGGTACCACTCGCTTGGGAATGTCACCAGGCTGCCCTGCGCGGCCTGCTGCGAGGTGGAAGAAATGCCTCCTTGCCAGGGGTTGCGTCTGCGCCGGCTACGGAAAAGCGACCACGATCCGTCCTCGGAGCTTCGTTCTGCAAGTCTCGGGCGCAGTCCAGTGGCCTGAAGGAGGGTTCCACAAAACGGGCCTTCGCTGTTGGGGGAGCCGTGACGGCCTTCGGGAAGTTGGACAGCAAGGCTCCATTTGTGCGCATTGCTACATGCCAGTCATCCCGGCAAAGACCGGACTCCTGCTTGCAACTTTCTATTTCCTTGCCCACCTCAAGCAGACACACTACAGCACACATGGATCCGGAGCTTGCTTCCACGCTTGTGGCCAACCTGATTCTGACAGTGACTATTTGCGGCTTGCCCCCCGCAGCGGGCCTCGACAAGAATTAGTGATCAGAATCCAGAAATGAGAGGCTGGGAAGAGATCAATGACGCCTCCGGCAAAAACGGCCGATGTCCCAACCAAATCTGAACCGCCTGAACCCCTCCCACCTCGTTTGATGTGCGCAGATATCTGGCTGCAGCCGACCCTGCCCCGGCGTGTATGATTCATGCAACTTAACGGAGCTTTGCAGCTGTAAAACTGATGCTAGCCTTCTCCCGGTGTCAAACACCAACTCCAAGGTTCACGGCTTCAGAAAGACCGGCTGAGCAAGTACAGTAGGTTCGTGTGAGTTTCGAAGACAAGCCTGCAGATATCGCAGCAAGATGCAAGGTTGCTGAATTACGCGCCAGCCTGCAGAGACCCTCCGTGGTCATGGGCGGAAGAGTGCGGGCAGCATTGATCAACAATCAACGACTCGTGCACCAAATGATGGAGATCTTGGTCTCAGTGATTGGTGGGTTTCGAACAACCTCCGAACCAATGCGAAGAAAAGACTGCTTGATGTGCAACATGCAACCGACTGCCTGGATAAGCTTCGAAGTCGGTTCCAGTGACAACCACGTCTGCAACGGCCAGCTAGGAGGCAGTCTACCGATTGATACGTCAGAGTTCAGTTCCACCGAACGCTCTGTGATGTCTTGCGGGAAGTCCGCTCCATGCAGCGGCTATGCAACGCTCCGCTCTTGAGCTGAAAGGCTGAAAGCCAAAACGTGAAGCCTTCTCCAGCCTTTGTTGCTCCAAGGTTCGGAGCATGCGAAGGGCTCGCGCCCATTCGTTCCTGTCGCGACGTGTTCGTGATCCGAGTGGGTCTGAGGGCTCAACCTCCCCAGGCTGAGGCAAAGCCGTCGAGAAAAGCCGGGAGAAGAACAGTTACAGAGAAGGAAAGGACATCGACACAATGCGAAACAAGGAAGAGCCCTCCGGATGATCAAGTCAAGGGCGCATGGACAGGTTGCAAAGCATGGAAGCGAAAAACTTCCAACAAAAACTCTGGAGGAACTGCCTCGAGGATGGCAAGCAAGGTGAAAGTACCCTTCAAGAGAGGCCAAGGTCCAAGGTCCTCCCTAAAAGATCTTCAGGAGAAAACCTGCACATCAGAGAGCTCCACAGAGCAGATAGCTCTCCTGGTCGGCGTTGGCATCAGCCTCCAGTCTCCACATGCACAGCAATGCGCTGCAATGCAAGCCAACAGAGAGCTGGCAGAAGTCTTGTATCTTGGATTTAGGGTTTAGGGTTTAGGGTTTAGGGTTTAGGGTTTAGGGTTTAGCAGAAGGCGGCTCCCTCCCTGTCCCTCTGGCTGTGGTCCGTCCATTTTGGGCCCGTGCATCTTCGGGTCTCACACGCGTCAACAATCTTTGGACCCCCGCCCCCACCCCCCAACCAACCCAGCATCATGTGCATCATTGGTTCCTCGCTTCTCCAAAGCACTTCGAAGACGTCAATGCCCTCAAAAAAGCAAGGGAGGGTCATTTCCCA